TACAGAACACAAGACTGGTGTTAACCAGGCTTTCAAAGTGATTTACTGCATACCAACAAATCTTAATTTCGCCTTAGATGTTCGATTACTAAATATTGCTGAGGCTGTTGGGATCCACGTTAACCAGCCTAATTTATGCATCCAGAAGAAGTTAGTTAAGACATTATCCTTACCTTGGCCATCTAGGTTTGAATGATTCTCCATTTTTGTAGAATGTTTCTAATTTTGTTGATATTCTAGTTGCTATTATATATATCTTTATTATAATTATTATTTGAGCATCTTTAATGAACTATAATTCCATTGATCTTACTTTACGAATCGATGTTATTTAAAGAACACTAATATTGTTATTGACTACTATTCTAGAATATTCTATGTATATAAGCATAAATATAATTGTAGAGTCATAAGAGGAGATTATCGAAAAGGATACTCCTTACTAAATTATCTTGTGTTTTATAGATGTCTGAATGAATATTTTCGCTCTATTGGAATCTAAATATAACTAGAACTCTTGCTTAGAATGGATAATAATAATGATAGTAATTTCTTTATTCCAAACAGTTTTTATATCCACAATGGATGACTGATTACAGTTAAACTGTAGTGATTTACCCCCCACTCAACTGAAATGTGTTCACACATGGATGTACAAGTTTCAGTCTTATTGTGATAACGACAAAAAACTATCTTTTTTCAAGAAAACTAGACAGCAAAAAGCCTTCTGAACTTACAAATAATGTCTCAAAAGTTTTCAGTTAGCTTTACCAGTCAAATGAACAAAATGCATAACATGGATACCGTTTTCTATAAATCCTTGAATACACACTTTAGAATGACGTAACTTTAGAGAGTTACCTTTACATAAGCATAAATATATAGAAAAATGAGACCTCTGAGGCAAACACCTCTCTATCTCAACTTCATCGACTTTGAAAAGGCCTTCGACAGAGTCGATCGAGAGGAGCTACTATGGGGTGCCACCGACAATTATACGTCTCATCCAACAGCTGTACGACAATGCTGCATGCCAAGGAATTCACAACGGGAAACTTACGGAACCCTTCGAAGTGAGGACAGGAGTAAGACAAGCTGGCCGCCCACTATCGCCCATGATTTTCCTGATTGCAGTAGACTGGATAATGCGACAAACAGTGGGCAATGAGGAAACAGGCATAAAATGGACTCACACAAAAAACTTGGAGGATCTGGACTTCGCCGATGATACATTTGTGTCTGATTTCCCACAAACTGGAAGATATGCAAGCGAAAAACAACAAGTCTGCAGAAGAAGCATTAAAGATAGGACTTCAGGTGAACATAGAGAAAATAGAGGTAATGAAGATTCCTGGACAAAAACAACAACAACAACAGACAACGATCAGCATAAATGGGAGGAACCTGAAAGAAACAACCTCTTTTACCTACCTGGGAAGCATCGTTTCAACTACAGGAAGACGGAACTGACGAGGATATCAAAGCGAGGATCGGGAAAGCAACGCAAGCTTTCATTACTCTCAAGTCTGTGTGGGGGAGAGCAACAGAACTCAGTATCAAAAATAAGATCCAGATTTTCAACTCCAATGTGAAGTCAGTGCTATTCACTTTACGGATCAAAAACTTGGCGCGTCATAAAGAGCATCTCAAACAAACTACACACCTTCATTAACAGTTGTCTTCACTCAATACTCAAGATCAGATGGCCGGCCAGAAAAGATCAGCAACAGAGATCTCTGGCAATGAGCAAACCAACACAGCAGGAACCGATTGTGAAACAAATAGGCAGGAAGAAATGGAAAGGGAATGGCTGGCCATACTCTGAGGAAACCATCAAGTGACAAGCCATCGCTCGAGTGGAACCCGAAAGGGAAGCGGCGAGTTGGTCGTCAGTGCAAGGGTGACTTGGAGGAGGTCATGTGAAGAGGAGATGAAAACGTGTGGGCAGACATGGAGCCAGGTGAAGACTCTAGCAGAGAACTGAATGCAATGGAGATGCACGGCTGAAGCCCTATGTTCCTGTAGGAATTAAAAGAAACAATAATAATAAGGCAAACTTTTCAATCACAGTAAAGGCTAACACAGCTATTGAGTCACTAACTAGCATTGTAGTCAGCTACAGTCTTTCAACCTTTATACAAGCTTTCCAAGTTTGAGATCCTGACTAGTTCACATTTAAAAGTATTCTGATTCATAAGACGTAATAATTGTACTAATAACTTTATTTCAAATAATAATTTTTATACCTAAGGGGATTTTCAGCATTTTACATAATGAAACAATATCTCTCCTTTGTACACATAAATTTGAATATATAGAATGATAAAAATAATAAAATTTCAAAGACTGAAAATTAATAGATGACTAACACGTGTAGTAAAAATTCTGGTTATAATTCGCTGTTTAATTATTGATTAAAAATTTGGCTTACTAGCTCTTTTCTGATATCTGCTTGTGCTCGTGAGGAGGGCGTTTATGCAACCTTGAAGGAACTCATGGCTGCATCAAAAAAGGATTAGACGCATGATACTAGTTACTAAATAGTGTTCAATTCAGGTATCCAATACAGTCCTCAAGTAGGTGAATCTCGCGAGCCCGAACAACTCAGTGGTTAACATCTCTTCCTGCAGCGCTTGGTGAGAAGGGCTCAAATCTCAGAGGGGATATGAGTTCTTTCAGTACTGCAGATACGCCTTGCCAGCTGGTGGGTGCCAACAACCACGAAACCTAGTTTAGGGGAGGGTTTCCTTCTGATTGCCTATAGCCTTCTAATAACAATATTTATCAAATTTAATCAGTCAGATATGTGTATTTTCAACTCGGTTTCTGACAGGCAATCGGAAGTGTAGTCATCTGATTCCCTACTCAAACAAGTGATCGATCTCTATTCATCTTTAAGTCTGATGTCATATACTAACAGCCAGCCAAGAATTTATCAGTGATGGAAAAGGAATAATCGTTGGGGAACCAATTACCAGTATGAGTAATTTTACATACAGCATGGAATTTTCACCATTGTGTACAAAGTAGGTCTATAAGCTCTTTTTGGGACAGTTATATCTTCACACAACACCTGCTCTAAATATGGTACTGTTGAATTTTTATATTTAATAGCCGAACGAGAATAAATTATCATGAAATTCCTTCTGGTTTCAACTCCCGGAGAGATACAAGCAGAAAGCAACGAACAAACAGAATGTTTAGCATCAAACAAGATGACTTTAACCAATCGTTTAAGAGAATTAAAATTCCTATCACACCAACAGTGTCAGTTGGTTTAGTCGAAAGCATACCGATAACCCTACTTATCACTTTTAGTGTTCTAAGTAATATAACGCAGTCTTTTTTGATAAGCTCAGGAAGGCATAAGGAGGAACAGTATAGAAGACTGGGTTGAATAAATGAATTAATAAACTGTAAGAGAAGAGGTTGAGTTATTTAAGCAGTAAGTTAAACCGATGGCGTTTTTGATATCAACCAGATGGGAGACGATCAACAAAGATTAGCAGGGAGAATAATACCAGATAGGCAAGCTACTTAGAAAGAAAATCATTCACTGGATTTCGTAAAGACTATGGCAGTTGGAATGCGATCACAGGATGTCATAGATTTATACAAAGTAAAAGGCTTCAAATAATTATTGTAATCCTAATGAGGCAAACCGTTTGTACCGCATAAAAAAACAAATCATAAAAAACAAAGACAGGTATCGCTTGGCTGGTGCTCGTACATTCAGGCATAACTCAAACCCTCTTCTTATACTTTGTCAACTCGCACATCGTACCTGTTCTTCTTTACTTTTCACACTTATTCTTTCCTGGATTCCTTAAAAATGACTATGTCATACTCCGTAGAACCTTGATCGCTGTCAGTAGAGCAAGTGGTATCCCACTGGACCATTTCGTTGACATCGTCATTGATAAGCACCTGATTTCATGCAAAAAATTTGCTAAATGGACTTTGTCAGACTGTGAGCATCCACCACAGCACCCACAGCTCCAACCTTGTATCTCCTCAGGTAAAACAAGAAGTCTTTTCAGAAGACTTCATGCACGTATGTCCAAGTATAAAAATTCCACTATACAATATTTCGTGGCACACATTTTATGTGATGAAAATAGTGTTAGGCATGAACTAACTAACCTTCTTTGCACTATTAAATAAACCATTTCCTCCACCCTTACAACATCAAGCTTTATTGTTATTGTACTTCTTATATTTATAATCCTCCCAATTTTTTGTTTATATTTGTTTATCTTTTCATGAGTGTGAACATTATTTAAGCTATAACCGTCAATCGTGTATTTCTCCTCACCATACTATATCAGCAGAACATTAGATTCAATAATCTATAACATGCTAAAATTCACAAACTGAATCGACAATACTGTTATTATTATTATATATATTGCTCTCATTTTGTACTTCGAATATTTTTGATTTTATATCATAAATGTGGAGAAATTCCTCTGGTTAATTTTGTTTCAATTTTTAATTTTATTTATACTTTAAGTAAATCAGATGCAATATTGTGACAAATGCTGAGAATTCTACACTGTATTATAAGTACTGTTTTTGGAATAAAGGAGATTAGTATTATTATGTAATAAGCATTTTTTTATCTACACGAATGGCTGGACGCACACTGAGAAGGTCGTTAAGTGATACTGTGAGCCACTGGAACCTGGATGGGAAATTACAAGTTGGGTGTCGGTCAGAAGACAACATGGAGGAGATCATGTGAGGAGGAGAGGACAGATCATAGGAAATCGTGGAGTCGGCTGAACAGAACTATGAAGAAAAGTATGAAATGGAAATGTGCTTCTGAAGTCCTATATTCCGCTCGGAACCTAAAAGCGTTGTATTAATAGATGGCACCTTTATATGGATTACAACAAACGACAATACAAACTGAATATTTCATTTCAATCATTGTCTTCAAAAGTAGTCTTTCATAAACTCATATATACACAAATATAAACTTTATTAAATCTACTCACCTAACCCATGAAAGGCAATATTACCCATTTGCAGCAGCGCGTTCAGTTGTTCTAATTCCGTATGAAATGACATAGCTATATTGTCGAATTCATTAAATTCTTGTGTCTTCGTCGCTGAAGCTGTATACGGTGATGTGAAAAATGGAAATGGCACAGTTGTTCCGACTTTAGGCACAATTGATGTATACATTAGGCTGGTATTATTTACCTCTGTCACATTATTAGAATCATTTTGATGATTAGGCGTGTGTTGTTTTGAAGAATTCAACAGTAACTTTTCATAATCCTGACCATCCCCAATTATTGTACTAGGATCATGTTTGGTTTGATTACTAGTCATAGTGTCAGTTAAATTCCGCTTAAACATGTACTGATCAATCATATTCTGGAATAAATAAGCCAATTTCTCAGTCCATAGGAGAAATGGACGATTTTTATCTTCGATCACGTAGGACTGTAACTGATCACTAACATATGACCATAAGGTGAACAAGCGTTTTTGTTTAAATCTATACAAACTGTTTTCATTATTCGAGAGATGAAATTCATCACCAATGTAGAATATTTTAATAATTTCATCTATCTGTTCCGGTGAACACTTGTCTAACAGGTTGACTAGACTTTTTGGTCGATTATATCGGCCCAAACGTTCAGCTAATATAGAAGCAATCTGTAGACAGCTGACATTTAAACAAAACTTTTGTGTTTTACACTTTTGTTGTTCAGTTTTACTATCACTACTACTACTACTAATACTACTATCAGTAGTCGGTAAATGAATGGACGATAACACAGGTGGATGATGTGTTTTCTTCACTGGTGACAATTTGTTCACCGGTGGCATCAAGGGTTCTGACGATGAATACGAAGAGGAGGTTCCATATATTGTCGTTAGCGATTCATCATACTGATTATACAATACAACCATAGTAATAATTACAATAATTAATAATAATATCGATATAATTAAAATCACTAGTAAGATTTGTTTACGTCTGCGACTTGAATGAATGTAATCACTGAAATTTGAGCAAATATTCAAGTGTGTAGTGTGTTTACGACAAGAAAATGTATCAATGCGTAAAATGCTAGCTAGCCACGACTTTGTTCTATCCTTCCATGATTGTTTTGTTTGAATGTATTCCGGTGTGATTGGCGGGGATTTTAAATTCGGTGTTTTACAGTTAATGGATTCATTAATTAGTACAGCTCTGTTAGAAGTTGTTGGTATTTCACAATTTTGTATAGATTTTGTAACCGGATTTTTTGGCTTGGATTTTTGTGATTTTGATGATAATTTACGAAGAAATAATGATTTTGAATCGGTGTGATTTTGTGCTTCACTGGATAAAAGACATTGTAAACTTTCATAATTTTGATTGCTACCACTACTACTATTATTGACATTAGTAATATATGTACTAGTGTTATTGTTATTTGTGTTCATGGTGTTGTTGTTGATTGTAGCATTTGACATGTAAAACATTTTAGAATTGGGTAAGTGTTTACAATTCAGTAGGCCATTTTCAATTTGTTTACTAGCCATTAATAGAGGTGGTCCAGAGTAGGCAGATGTGAAATCAATTCTACCACTACTACTGATATTACCATCAGTAGTGCTATTTATTTGTTTTAAACTAAACTGTTTAGTTATCTGTTTGATTTTCATTGTTATGCTTTCTCCTCTTTCTGCTCCTCCTCTAAATGATTTCGGTTTTGTTTTGTTGTGTTTTGTTTATGTATTTTGCATTTTAATTGAGGCTAAAAATGTGCAAATATTGTATTCGGATAGAGGGCAGCGTGATAGGTGTAATATCCAATTTTTATTTCTCAAATATCCGTTATTTAATCGGAGCCAACAAATTTTATTTCAGTTCTCATGATTGAAAACCGGGAAAATGAATGAACCAATCAGAAAACAGTACATATACTTAGATATTTTATTGGTTAAATATTTAAGAAGTATATTTATTATTTATTTGTCGGTAATACTGACAATGATAATTTGATTTCAGTTGTTAGATTTCGTCAGGAATCAACATCAGTTAGCGAGCGAGAGAAAGAACTAGAGGGCTATTTCACTCTATTTTGTGACTCTTCCTCAGTATGCAGCCTTGACCTCACCAGGGATTCAACCTGGAACATACAGGTGATGAGATCAAGCTCGTCGACTAAGTCAAAAATGAAACGTGGTTTAATTGAAGAATTTCGTCATGAGCTGACATCGGTTAGAGAACCATTGGAAAACCAACCAGGGAGTACTGGACAACTATTTCGTCAGCCTAGTTGGCGACTCTTCAAAAGTACGCACCCACCCCCAGAGATCAAAGCCACGATCTTCTGGTTACAAAACGAGCTCGTAGTCCATTCAGCCACTATCAGGACCTGATCCAATGGCCAGTTCATGAATTCCAGCTTCCAATTAATGATGCGGCGCGACCACTACTGAATGTCGTTGGTGGCGAGTATTTGTCCCCACGCCCAACCTGCTGTACTCTACTGGTCACGGCTTCCCACTAGAATCCCAAGTGGGCACTCGGTTTGGGTCTTAGTGGCTTAATGGTCTGAGAGGTTGCCTCAAAACCTTGAGGTCCTGGGTTTGAACCGCAATGGCGGATTCGTACCGATGAAGAGTCCTAAACTAGGACGAAATAGCTGTCCAGCTCTCACAGTTGGTTTTCCAGTGCTTCTCTAACCAATGTCAGCTCATGATGAAATTTTGTAACCAATCAATCAAATCCCTACAAACCAATACTTGAAACATGGTTCACTAGAAAAATGCAGTACAAAATCTACAATGAAATTAATTCAGATCTGATAAAAGATTTTGATCTAAGTATCAGTCTCAGGGCCATTGATAGCCACTGGATGGACGTCCCTAAGCTGTACTGAAAAGCTATGACGAGTAAGGACCGTCGTATCAAAGACAAGTAGATGCTCACAGACGTTACTGATTGGGGGTCGTGCGAAATATGATAAATTGACAAAATTCATCAGTCCATGAATTCCATATTAAGTGTCCGAATGGTCGATGAGGTTGGTCTCGTTAGCTGAAGGTTCACCGTTAGAGTCCTGACGCGTTCATGGGTTTGCACTGCTGGCGAATACCAAAATAGGACCAATTATTATTATGGTTTCCTTTAATTCCTAGAGAGCTTCAGCCGTGCGTCTCCATTGAGCTCGGTTCTCTGCTAGAGTCTTCACTTGGGTCCAAGTCTGCCCACACACCTCCTCCAACTCACCCTTGGACGACCAACTCGCCACTTCCCTTTCAGGTCTCACTCAAGGGACCAAAGAGCTATCCATTGCTCTTTGGCGACTGTCAATGATCTCTATAACTGATGTTGGTTCGTGGCAACATCTAAATAATGCAATTTAATTCATCCAAATTCCATCAGTTTCATAATCGAACTATATAAACAAATCTGATATGGTTGTGAGCACTAAATTTCACCCAATACATAATCAGTACATATCACTGTGTATTATATCTAACAACAGTTCCAACCCTTGACCTCACGAGGGGTCGAACGTCTGACCTTCAGGCTACAAGTCTCCTTGAACGCAATGACCATTTAGCCGCTTGGGCCAGAATTCACTAACCTATAAAATTCTAACTTTGTCAATTTTTGATGCAGAGCTACCATCAAATAACGCCTCCGATGGGCATCTACTTCACCTTGAAATCCTATAATCTAAGTAATACTTATAATACCGTGAAGTATTGAACTGAGATTGACGTTTTGCTTAATCTCTGATAAATCTTCCTCCTTTCTTTATTATAGTTTGTTCTCTTTCTTCTCAGCTTTAGTGTCAGCCTAATTTTAAGCCAATTTTTATAAGCTATCATATTTAACATTATATTTCCTTGATTTTGCTTCTGTTAATCTCATGGGAGATGAATATAATTGCGTGTAAACAAAATTTTATTTGATACGCCAAAGTGTGAATATTTCAATCTCATAATACAAAATTGATAAGACACTAGGGGGGATATTTTAATATCAAGTGTTGCTTTTCACGGATTTTATCGGGAACAGGTTTGATCACGAGCTGATTTCATTCCTGATTTCAGAACACGTCCCAAATTATGAGAAAACAGCTGTCTAGTACTCCATGACCTTCCAATGGTTCTCTAATTGACGTAAGCCTACAGTCAAACCCGTAACCAATTATTTCCCTACAAACCAACACTTAGTGATTTATGTGGAGCTCACAGTACAGGAAGTTACCTGGAGTTCCAGTGGGGTTCGCCAAGTCAAGTAAGTGGAATTTTAATCGACGATGATACTGGCTGCAGGATGCGCACTGTTTGTCACGAATCAGCAGAGGATGGGATTCATAGACCATTGTATTGGGTTTCAGCGGCTCAATCGACCTCCAGGTCGCCTCATAAGCTAGAGATACTGCGTTCATACTGCTTAAGAGTCTAAAAGTAGCACTAAACAGATGTCCAGTACGCCCTGGCTTTCAACGGTTCCCTAACTGATGTTTTCTTGTAATCAAACCTGAAATCTTAAAGCCCTAATGATTTATTTTCTTCTTCATTGCTCATCTCTAACAGTTATACTGTAAGTTACAAAGTCACCTGATTACACTGCGACGAAGCTATCTAAAATCGAATTCCACTAAAATATTTTCAGTTTTGTCAGGAAAGAAGTAATTTATCTGAGGTGTCTGGGATTCTGTAGCTCAAGCCTGCAGACGCTCAGGACAAATTCGTATTTACTTGTGAACACAAGTATATATACATTTGTAAGTACCGAGGAATTAGTCACTATGGTTCAAATGCTTTGAAGTTTTGAAAGCCAGTGTAGATTTCTTTTTCTCCACAAAAATAAGCTTGACTGTATAGTGATTTTCGTGGAGCTCTGCTCAACATTTTCGCTTTAATGAGTGGACAATGGAAATCATTTCTGAGCAATGGCCACACCACCGAGCAGTTCTTTCCACTCCTTATAGTAATGGATGACCAGCTGCAAATGACAGAGGACGTATCTAGTCTTCTTGGTGTCTTGACCGGCACTACCAGTCATTTCGAGGACGGCTACCAAGTAGATTGTAACACCAGCACTGTAGCCTGTAGAAAGCATAGTTTGCCATCTTCCAGATGTCAACATCATCACTTAGGTTCGAGTGAATTGCTGAAACACTCTGTTTGAAGGTTCTAAAGCGTTTAATGAATTTCATAGCATAATTTATTTTCTAGCAATATTTTACTGAGATTCTGTGCTTGTTGGCGCTCACCAGTCATCAAGATGTGTCTGAAATCTTAAAGGAGCTCGTGTACCCTCCGAGATTCTGACCTGGGCCACCCAGTACTGCAGGCAGAAGCGTTACTACTGAGGTATTCGGGCTCGCAGTTGACTTTCTGCAGGACACAAGCCGCTTCAAGATTGCAGATACGGTTTGCTCACCAGTTTCAACAAGCAAGAAGCCTAGGTGAAGCAGGGCTTTCAGTTGGTTGCTTTTAGCCATCTAACTACGATTCATAGTGCAACGTGATAGTGAACCATCCAGCATGGTGGCTACATTGCAAACTTGACTGGCAGAATTCAATCTTCATCAGCACTAAGTACTAGACTCATGCCATTAGTCATTAGCGAGAATGTAACCAAAGTAGTCATATGTAAATATGATTGTACAGGTAGAGGGGAAAATAAAAATCGCCCAAAAAGGCTTCTTTGATGAACTAAACTATTTTGATTGCACGTACCTAATTCGTTACAACAACAAATGAAGTTAACTGACTCACTTGTCCGTGAAAATAGGTCATCTATCCATAGAAACGGATCATAAAGTTAATTTTAAAATTGCGTATAAACTCACGTATATAAGATTCGTTGAAGCCCTTTCCAAATAAGGCGTAAATTTATTTCATGTGTTCAAAAACTATTTCTTATTACTTTCAACCTGTACTGATAAACAAGTTTTAAAACCAAGGTTTATTTCGTACAATAATGATTTCCCTCTAAATTTTCTTACCTCTCATCTGAGATTCTGAGTCCTAAATAAACATTTTGACCCTAACCACTACCATCTTGATATTTCGTACTCCGTTAGCTTTATTATTTTGATTAGCTACTAAGTAGTAACTGATGTCATGCACCAAGTACTCGATAGTGGTGCAGACTGAACTCCTAATATCCAGTTCGCAATGTGGCCACCATGCTAGGTGACCCATCATCACGGTACACTCTGAATTTCCGTTATATTATTGGAGAATGAAGTCAAAATATAAGGTTTCGTGTTTTTTTAACACTCACCAGCCAGCAAGGCATGTCTACAATCTTGAAGAAACTCATATTCCCTGTGAGATTCGAACCTGTGTCACACAGCGCTCAAGTCAGAGACGTTGTCACTCAGGTATTCGGGCTAACCGTTGACCTCCTGTAGGAATGTGGTGGATACATTGATTGGTTAATAGGTAGTAACCACTGTCATTCGTCCCATAATTTGGTTGATGGAGACTGAGTCCCGTTAGTCAATAAATATGCAGGTATGTATGATAAGTGCGTGTGCCATCAGAATTTTCAAAATATGTTGTACGAATGTATGACACCTGTTAAATGATTTATATCCAAATTTTTGGTCTCGCTATATCATAAATTGATAGAATTTGGAATTCATGGGCCATTGGATACGGTCCCAGTGGTCTAATGGTCGACA